CCCCCCCCCCCCCTCACGACCAGCAACCGCAAGCATGATGGCCCCGCTTATGGTGAAACGTGGCCTGTATTCTCGAAAGTCCCGCATATCGCTCCGTCCTGGCATTGAAGGGATTGGAGGTCTGACGGCATGCGTTTAACACGAGCACACACCCCACTACCCCGCGCCCGACCCCTATTCCCAAAACCCACCAGATCGTCGACCGGCCCATCCTCACGGAGCCCCGCCGTAAGCGCCGGGAGTACCTCCAGCCCCAGTGGGTGCTCGACTCCCTCAACGCGCGCGTGCTCCTGCCGGTGGCCCGCTACGCCCCCGGCGCCGCCCTTCCCCCCCACCTGTCGCCCTTCGTCGACGACGCCTCCGAGGGATACGTGCCGGCGTACCGGGAGGAGCTGGACAAGCTCAGGTCGGCCGCGGAAGCCAGGCGGAAGAGGGGTGGGGGCTCCAACTCCAAACCCGCGGAGGAGGTGAGTTTGGAGTGCACAACCCTGTGCTCATAGTCGTGCATGCGGTAGTCGTGAGACGATTGACCTCGCATCCCTACAGAGCCGCGACGGAGCTCGCAGGGTTCTCACCGGAGCAGGCTCTAGGGGGTGCAGCTTTTTTTTTTGTCTTTCTCGTCGTTGGTGCAGGTGCAAGGTAGGTCTCGGGGGTACCATAGGTAATGGTTTCGGTTGGGTTGGGTTCTACGGGCGAGGCGGGTTCCCGGGTTCGGGTTTATTGTGTTATTTTGGGCTTTGGCATGGCAGCAAGATTGACCTTGGTGGCACTGGCTTAGGTTTAGTCGCGTTATTCGGGCGAGGCGGGTACAAGAGGGGAGAGAGATACGGGTTCACCGTTTTTTTGCTTGATCGCGGTGGCAAGGTTGGCCTTGCCGGTGTCGGTGTCGGTTGAGAGTGTTTTGAGCTGACGCCGCTGAGTTGGCTCTGTGCTTGGCAGGCAGGGCGGAGCGGGCCATCCGCGGATGTCTTTGTCAGCAGGCGAATCCTTGTTCCTGTTTGTTCGCAACACACGCACGGGCGCGCTCTCTGCGGAGGTGAAGACGTAAGCACACGCCTTCCCTTCTTTTTGGGGTGTCCTCTTTTGTCAGGGTTCCGAGGAGGCCGAGGGGGAGGACGATGTGCTCGACGTGGTCCCGGGAGTGGCCACCGATATTTCATCATCGGCAACGGCAGCGGGGACGTCCTCGAGGAGCGACGACGAGGCGGAAGAGGACAGGGATGGAGAGGAAGCGTTTGCCAAGGACTTGGAGCGGGAGAGGGCGGGCACCGCATTCTCGAAGGCGAAATCGCTAGAGGAGGAGGAGGAGGAGGAGGATAGCAGCAGCGACGACGACGACAGCGGCGGCGAGGAGGAGGAGGAGGAGGAGGAGGACGTGATGGAAGAAGTCGCACCACGTTCTGCGGAGGATAAGAAGCAGACGGAGGAACAGGAGCACCACGAGATGTCGAGGGTAGGCATGTTTTTTTTCGTGTTCTCTTTGTGTCTCTTGCTTCTGATATGCACAAATCAACGTCGTCTTCTGTGTATCGGTATCGACCACTCTCTGCGTCCA